CAATAAATGAAATAGCGATCACAACACAAGAACACAGTAAATTTGGTCGAAGAATAGAGAATTCACTATAATATAGAGAAACAATACAAAGATGTAGTATTTTCTATATTGTTTAACTTATTCTAACTATAAAGAAAAGCCAACTATATATAGGTAGGGGTGGCAATGACCTAGGCCATTCTCAGGGCTCGTTTTGAATCAGCTCGTTACTCGCTGAATTTCTTTTTTTTTTCTTTTTTAAAAAAAAAAGAAAAAAAAACTTCCTCCTTAATTTGGGCTTGGAATTAGTTACTTAAAAGGACAATTCTACATTGTCTTACTTAAAAAAACCTTCCCCCTTTATCCGGATTTGGGATCAGTTTTAAATTGTATATAAACAGCTTGTTATGTATACAATTTTTTTCAAAAAATTAAAAATAGTATTACGAAATAACAAGCTTTATTAATATGATTAAATTAAATATCATTTACTTGATGACATGTAATATTACTTATCTTGTAGTCGGAAATAAGCGTCTTGTTAATTCTTCACGCTCATTAATGTTTTCAAAACATCTGCTTTCAGTCGGCTCCTAACCTCGGACGGAACCCTCTTACTAGCACTAAAAGGAAACTCCAAAACTACAGTGATAATCGGAGGTGTTAGTAAGTCTTTTGCAATCGCAAATACTACAAGCCACCGTTGTCCGTACTTTCGTCAGAATTCAATTACTTTTTATGAACATTTTCTAATTGATACATTACTAGACATGTGATGATTAAAGTAGTCAACTAATTCAGCAAGCAATAGATTTGGTCTTGCATCTGATGTCTAGTTATATACAATAGACATACTACAAGAACCCACTGTATCATATCTATACGTGTTAATGCCTTCAAATAAATTCTGTATTTCATCTTCATCTTCTTCAAGATTAATGGGAGAGGTAGGTGTAGAAGGTGCCAAACTAATATTTGGACCCATTCGTTGTGCATATAATTCATATATTTCGCATAAAGTTTGTTCTAAATTTTTATAAGTGAGAGCTTTTGAAATTTGATCAATTGTATATTTAGTATATGATATATTGTATCGCTGGTCCATGATACATGCCAAAGGAAATAACATAATCACGTCTTCCCAATATTTTCTGAACTTTAATTCCATAGAAAATATAATTTCATTGAAATTCGGGTTATTTTTGTATTTATCAAAGGACCTTGCAATGATATAAAGACGCTCGAGCAACCATACAGTTGGGGGTAATACACTCCATATAAAATATTTGTAGAGTCATAAAAACTTGTCAATTTTTTTTTTTTATTTTAAAAGCTAACATCTAATTAGATTCATTCAAAATAATGCCATCATCATTTCTAATATGCCTGCTTTTATAAAATTCGGTCATTAAATATTCATATCCTTCACATGATTTCAAAAATAAGTAAATAGAGTTTCATCTATGTCATACGTCACTAACAAATGTATTCGTATCCATCATTCCAAATTCAACACAAAATTGCTCGAAAACTTGTTTTCTATTAGAAGAAATCAAGATATATATTAGTGCATCCCTAATGCTTCAAATTTCTTTGAATTAACACTGTTCAAATAATGAATTAACACTGTTCAAATAAGACAATTTAATTATGGTCTGTTGAACACCAACCATTCCATTTCACGGACATTCCACGTTCGTTGAAATTAAAATATGGACTTTTCACTAATTTTCCAACCAGTCCATTTCACTATCATAGACTTCAATCAACGTTAGAAAAGCAATTACACAAGATTCCGTATGGAGAACGCTACCAAAAGCTATTGGAAAATTAGTGTGGAATTAAATTATTTGACTTAAATTAGAGTCCACCTATCTTGCAGGAGGCTTTTATTTTACACACACACTCTTTTTCATCAAACTCATCATTACAATCCTCGCCTCCCAATATTCTTTATGCATTTCAAATTAGCCATGGGAAAGAATGCCATTTTTACATTGCTGGCAATTCTTTACTTGCTTATCAACATTGTTGCATCTCTAAATAGCTCCAATGATGAATATGCTCTTCTAGCTTTTAAATCTCAAATAACTTCTGATCCAAACAAAATCTTGGCAAAAAATTGGTCACAAGGAACCTCGTTCTGCAATTGGATTGGCATTACTTGTGACAGGGGACATCTAAGAGTTAAGGGCCTGAATCTAACATATATGGGTCTAGGAGGTACTGTTGCTAAAGAAATCGGTGAACTTTCCTTGTTGAGATCCTTAATTATTAGCAATAATAATTTTCATGGGTTTATCCCTAATGAAATTGGTAAGTTAAGCCAGCTTCAAGAAATAGAGATGCAATACAATAAGCTAACTGGTTCTATTCCACCAAGTATTGGATTTCTTGAAAATCTACAAAAGTTAACTATCTCCCATAATGGTCTCACCGGAAATATTCCTAAAAGGATTTTCAACCTCTCTTCTCTGATTGAAGTTAGTTTTGGAAACAATGGTCTCTCAGGAAGTCTACCAATGGATATTTGCTACAATCTTCCAAAGCTAGAGAGGCTAAGGATTTCGGTGAATCAAACAAATGGCAACATTCCTCCGAGCCTGGGAACATGCACAAATCACGAAATTCTTTCTCTATCGAACAATCATTTTTCTGGAAGAATTCCAATGGAAATAGGGAACTTGTCAAGGCTTCAAGTTCTCCATCTTGGATCAAATAATTTGACAGGTACGCATGTTTAATGAGTAGTCCTTTCAAGTCTACATAGTAACTACATATTGATGCCCATGGAGTATGTCCTTTTACATAGACATTTCATTTGACCTTT